AGTTCTTTCCCATTATTTGCTAACTGATCATTTTAATTGGATACGCCAGGACTTTAATCTGGGACCTTCGGCATACAAAGCTTGTGTTCCACCGCTGCCCTGTGCTGCCTTTCCTCCTGCATAACTCAAATAACAAGCCAAGCATCTCACTAGGAGGCAAAGCAAAGAACCTCAGCTCACCAATCATTCTAACTTCATGAAAAATGTGCTGGTTCACCCCAAATATGGACATCAGCCAGAGCATGAATCTGATCAATCACAAAAAAGATATATCAAGTCCACAAAATTTAATTAAAACATAAGAACAGGTTTATTGGATTGCACCAAAGGCCTACAAGCTCAAAAATCTGTTTCTACCGTTGGCAGCTTCGTGGGATAATTTCATGTTCTGGCATTGTAAGAAAAAAAGAAAAAATATCCCAACCCATTTTCTCCACACAATGCACAACTATATATACCTCTGCTATGCCCCCTCTTACTTACCTTTCTAAACTCAAGGAATTCCAACTTTGGGTGTTTTCTTCACAGAAGAGTTGCTCCAGCCACCTTTTCATAGTAATTGTTCTTTTCTGCACATTTTTTAGCTCTAAAATAATTCTTTTTTGAAGTGTGATAGCTACCCACACTATTCCAAGAATGGATGCATCATAAATTTGTATAAACACATAGTGGTGGTTTTGTTGTGAATTCTTTCCTGCATAATCTCCAACATGAAATCTGCCTCTGTTGCAGGCACATATGTGATATACGTTTTCACTGAGCTATCCACAAACCAAAGATCTCTCCTCTTGGTCGATCACCATAAACTGCATCACTTTAGAGTTGTTTGGAATTAATGGCTCTTACCATTTTAATGTCCACTCAGCCAGTGCAGAGAGATCCTTCACAATCCTTTCTGATTTTAATATCCCAACTCCAGATCATGTATAAAGAAATTACCATGCACAGTCCTAATAAAGACTATTGGGAAACCCCATTGTTTACATTCCTCTAAGTAATGACAGTAAATGACAATTTATTCCTTCTGTTCTTTAACAGTTACTTATCTGTAAAAGTAAGTCTTCTCTTATCCCGTGACTGCTAAGTTTGCTTGGGAGTCTTTGTTGAGAGTTTATGAAAGGCCTTTTCAAAGTCCAGAGACTATCCACACCCACATGTTTTTTGACAGTCAAAGAACTCTAAGCTGTTAATGAGTTTGAACTTATTTTGTAAAAGCCATGTTGATCTGCCATATATACAAGCTGAATTTCCTATATATGCTTACTATTGATTGTGATGATTGGAAGAATCCAAAATTGGAGGTTTCCAATCATCCAGTGCAGGTCTGGAGGAATGACAAAGGCACTCTGCACCACTCCATCCTCCTTCATTTTTCTCATAGATGGACAAATAAGTCCATCTAGTGACAGTAGATGAACACATTGGCATCATTTTACGTTACATTGGCCACTTCTGTGTCCTGCTGTACAGAGGCTAATCTTCTGGGTACGGGTCATATATTTTTGTTTGACGATTCATCATGGTAGGCCATGTGATTCCTGTGTCTTCTTTACATACACAAACACCAAGTCTCATCTTGTTATGATCAAGACCTTTTCTGGATTTTATTTTCATACAATCACAACACGATTTTACGAAATCCATTGATGATAAACTGACAGGACATCAATACATCTAAGCCACTTGGAATCAATTGATGTCAATGCAATAAGACAACTACTGGACTTGTACATACATTAATTAGAAAATAAATCTGTTTTACCAATTTTAGCTGCACTTTCATACAATTAAGTATGTTAAAAGCAAGCTACTACACCTACCTAAAACTAGAACTACAGAATTTCATTTAACTTTTCGTGATCATTCTTTCTTTCACCGCTTCTGCTTAGATAGCCAGAACTGTTCTACCCACAGACAGGAAAGTGGTATAGCGAAACTCAGAGAACTCCAAGGTCGGCTGAAGCTCAAAAAATATTTAGGAAACATCACCCTAAGAGAGGACGATCTCAAAATATCCCCACAAGAACTCAGTGAAACAGAATGTTGAGTGATTGAGAAGGAAAACAACTCATAACCACATGGGAGAGAGAAAAGAGAAGGCAAGACACAGGTATATCATGGCTGAAAAGGACCATCATATGTATTTAAACTGTACTTAAACCCTAGGACATGCCCTGACTTATAGAAATAATCTTCTAAAAAATGTTCCAAGGGACAGTACACAGCTGCCCAAAGAAATCAATGGAGAAATCCAAGAATGTAGCTCATACTGGGCATGTGAGTCCACCACCACCCAAAAACAGACGGAAAAATAATATATCACAGCCCAATGTGGGCAAGAAATGCTTACTGACTCATGGAGAGGAACAAAAGAAATACTGGGAGAGGAGAGGGAAGGGGTTTCCAAAACCTTGAACTACATACTGCAATACTGTAACGCAGGTCTGCTGTGTTGATTATCAATCAATAATGTTTTCATTGACAAAAACATTGCCTCAATCAAGTAACACTCTTTAGTGTTGGATATTTTAATATAAAAAGTATTTATCAAAACTGTATCTAGGAGCCATCATCTCAGAAGAGGCATTCCAACTTCTCTCACAAAAGAGGAAATGCCTCTTTTTAAGGCAGTGACTGTAACAAATATGCATATTGTCTAAAAATAAAGAAAAGGCATAATTCGCTCCAACACTATTGGTTTATTCTTCTGCACATGTATGCATATTTAACTCAGTAAAGCCATATGATCAATCAAGCCAAGCCTAATATGAATCAGTGATAGGTCTACTTAAAGATCTGCTTAACTGGATTGGGAACTAGGCTACCCCTCTCCTCCACTGCCACTAGATATCCTTCTCATCAGAGTAAACTATTACACATGGTCTGACACTTCATATTGGACAGGTAGATTCACGCTCATCCACCTCTCCAAACTGGAAAAGTAGCCATGACAAATATGGATGCATACATTTTTTTCAGCTCTTCTGAATCTGTCTGCAAAGTATTCCTGGTAGCCTGTCTGGCACATCACCAATACCTTTTGTTTGTGCCCAGAATTCCATCACTATCCCCACCACTGTACTTCTTTAACTAAAGCAAGAATACATCATACCACAGTCACAAACTAGAGTACCCTGAAGAATGCCACTGGAAATGGGGGTGAGGGCCTTACAAAATACACCGAGGCCTTCATCACTCCTCCTTGCATGTCCAAAACTCAAGAAACAGCAAGATGGACACAATTTCATTGCAGGAAGCCCCAAAGACCAGAATTCTCCTATGGGCAAGGCACCACTTCTCAAACCAGGTTATCTTACAATGGTCTTGTATGCACATACCTGGCCCATCAAATTGAAGATTACCATCTGTAATGATTCTGTAAGTATGGACAACCATGATGCAAAGCAATAAAGAGTTTCCACGTAAGATATACAGTTCACACATCTACTCGCCTGTATCTAAAGCACAGAACGATCCAGTGGTGCACAAGAACATGTGAACCAGCCAAACAATAACCAAAAAAGGTGATCATTTCCTTGAAATCTTCATGTAGGCCCTATACATCAAGGAGTAAAAACCAGATTACTTCGAATTTTCCATGTTCTTTGCTCCCATCTGGCAATGACAGAAACTGGAGATGATGGTAATAGCAATTAGCTGCACAAATTATGGCAGACACTCCAATAAGCAAATACCTTACAGAACTGCTAACATCAATGAGGGCTCTTGCCTTCACAGCATGTTTGGGACCTGTGGCTGGCCAGATTTGGAAAAAGGATCCTGAAATCAGAGGGACCCCTTGGACTGGTACAGCAAGACTGTTTCTACCCTCTTAATTGTGAGGTCAAACATGAGCTTAGACCTTATAGACACTCTTGTGTCACTGGATGTCACAACAGCCTTCCTCAACCTGGTCCTTTGACATGTGCTGGACTACAGCTCCCATAACCCCCCAGCCAGCATATGCATATTTACTTAGAAGCAAGCATGGAAGCTGTAGTTCAGCACAGTTATAAAGCATCAGGTTGAGAAAGCGGATCTACAAGAAAACACTTGTTTTGTTCTGTTTAGAACATCTCTCCTATTGCATGAACTTGCACCATGCCCATTCCGCAGGAGCAAAAGACATCACAAAGGAGAGGGGGAGGAACCAGACCTTTGAGGTGCCTTTTCTTACCCAATGCCTTCCCTTCGTTATTTGCAACACCTTTCATTATGCACATCACTGGAAACAGAAAGACTTGTAATCAGGAGGGCCCTTTTGCCCGCAGAGTTCAAAACTAGCAAACCTCATCCCATTTACAATCTTTAAGCACACACATCACGCATACACACCTATTTTGTGTACACTGTGCGACGAATGACTCATCCCTTCAAAATATAGCTTTTGGAAACTTTTGGAGATTAATGGATTTTGTCAAGCAAGGAGCTGAGAAGCGAATGCCACTGCATTCCTTCGCTCTTGCCACAGTGTTTGCCAGAGACGGGCGACCAGTATAGACTTGACTGGTAGCTAACAAAGAGCAAGAAGATAAATCCACCCAACGGAGAGTGGGAGGGTTGGCTCCAAGTTGCAGAAGAGCAGTCACTGACGGCAGCGCTCAGAAGCTATTCATGGGGCAGAAAACTTAAGCTGTTTACAGGCTTCCAGACAACAAGGACGCAGACTGCAGAGGAGAGATTCTACCCAGATAGCTTCTTTCAAAAGGCCTTTGCTTTTCAGTCCTCCCTTTGCATGCGAATCCTGCCCATTCCCCAAGTCGATCTAAAATTATGCTTCATAAAACAGAACTACAAGCCTGTAGTTCACAAACGGCACGGTAACCGATCCTACAACAGAGACACTTTTTTGTTTTCCAGAGGCAAAACGTGCATCACAAAGTGACAAGATAATAGACTGGAGACCTGCTGACCCAACCTGTGCGCCCCTCAGCTCAAAAGTCAGACCCTTCAGCAAATTCCACCTCCCCGCTTCCAATGGTTACATCTGCCGTGCTTACCTGTTTCACATGTCTTTGGGTCCCCCAAAAGCAGTTGCTTCTCCCCAAGGAGTCACGTCCACTGGAATCTTTTTCGTACCCTTCTCTCCACAAGGGAAAAGAGGGGTACGGCAAGCTTTTATTAAAAAGTAAATAAAAAAATCACTCCTCGAGGAAGATTTACCAGCAATGGCTGGACTAGGTTTCCGTCTTAACTGAAGAATCGAAACGGAGCGGAAAGTTTTAGCCGACAGAACTGAGATCACTGCAAAAATTATTTGGGGAGGGGGCAGAATCAGAAAGGGGGGAGAATTGGGATGGGAGGGGGTAGGTTTTGCTGCGCGTAGGAAAGCGAGAGGAGAGCAAAAGACTCCTCCTCCTTTTCTAAGAAATGCACTTGTGAGTCCGGACAACTCCGGGGAAAGTTTGGAAAAGTTTAGAGAGGAGGCATAAAATTCTCGAAGAGGGGAACGGGGGCTCCGGAGCCAGGAGGGTGGGGAAAAAGAAACCGAAGGAGGGGATTGCTGGGTCGCTTATAAAGCGGGGAGGGCTGGAGAAGGAGGAGCAGGCGGCGGCGATCGCGGCGTGCGTGTGGCTGCTGCGTTGCTCTTTCTCTCTTGCAATGCAGCAGCGCTGGCAGAAGCCGTCGCCGACCTCGGAGTCACAGCCCAGGAATGCCAAGAATGCGGAGTGGCCACTGCGGGGCAGGAGACGTCGGGGAGTTGAGTTGGAGCCTTCTTTCTCCTCCCTCCCTCCCGCCTTCCGCACTTTTGTTTCACACACACACGCTCGCTCACTCGCTCTCGTACTTAGAAAGCGCAGGACTCGCCAGGACGCGCAGAAGGTGGAGCGAACCTGGAAAAGGGCAGCTCCTCCAGACTTTCCCAAGGATGATGCCTTTTAAGCGCGACTCTCCCCAGAAGGGCAGAACTGTTTCCAATAGAGAAGAGCGGAACTCGGGAAAGGCGGGAGAATCAAGGCCCCCGCGCGTTCGCCCTAACCGTTCCATTTACACGTGGATCGCGAACTTTAATTCGCGGCATGCGCGGCAGTGGAGCCGCTTCGGTTTACGCGCATAGAGGGGACCGAGGTGGCGCGGGGGATAAGAAAGCAGGCGATCGGCGCCCGCTCATGTGTGCGGCCAGCCCTTCGCGGGTGAGGGGGTGGCTGGTACGCGCTGGAAAGCGGAGGAGGGCGAGAGGGTCCTGGACAATTCGGAGTGCTCAATTACCGGGCGGGCGCAAGGGGCAGAGAAAGGAAGCGAGCGCCTGGAGAATCCCGGCGGTGGGTGTGTTGCGGCATCGGGCAGGGGCGGAGCGTCCCCTCTTTTTAGGGAAGTGAGGTTTGTGAGGCAGGCGGGAAGAAGCAGGGGACGAAAGAAAGTGGATCCCCCCCCTTCCCGCGCTCCTTGCGGCTGGGAGCGAAGTTTGAGAGCAGGGTGGAGTCGAAGAGGATCTTATGAGCGCACCAGCCACTCAGGGCTTCGTGATTTCCCATTTTCCCTCCTCCTTTTTGGGGAAAAGAGGACCATATAGAAATCCATCGCCTTCCAGGCTATTTCCGTAGGGAGGTTTTCTTAGCACACTCTTAAAGGCGCACTCTTGAGCCTGCTAGATCCCAGCCAGCCAATCTTTTCTGTGCGCGGCTTAGGACCGCGCACTATTTATGTTTGCAAGGCAAATCTTGCAAGCCTTTTTCGCTTCAAAGGACTGCCCATGAGCGTATATTCTTAGGAGAGGGGTGCTGATGGTCCCCAAGTTTAAATACCTGTATATACATTTAAATTTGCTGTTGTTCAAAAAGTCATGATTTACTTAGAATGAAGGTGTTACATCGTATTTCTGCCAGCCCTAAGACTTGGCTCAAGAACAGCTTTTTTTTTTTTTTTTTTTTTAAGGGAGCGTTCACGCATTTTGAAGGTACAATTCTGTGCAAGTTCTGACAGGAAAAAAAAACACGTGCTGGCTGGGGTATGCCAGGAGTTGCAGGCCCCTTTTTTGCCTAAATTTGCACAGGGTTGCGGCCTGTAGGGTGCAATTCTTCACACAATTAGCCAGAAAAGCCGTACAGCTCCCAGCATCCCTCTAGCCAGTCACACTGGAAACAGTAAGATTTTTCATATCCAAACTGGGATTGTGCCATCAAAGCAGAAAGCCTTTGTGGGGATCTCTTAGGATGACGCACACTGGGATAAATGCGGGACTGCCGGATCAGGCTATTTCAGCAAGTTATATGAAAAAAATAACAGCTCTTAGTAGCAGAGGAGCAACTCTATAAAGTTTTTGATTGTTCCACAGTGCATTAATAGAGTTGTTCATCTTGCTGAATGGAGTTGTAGTTTTATGGTAGTTTATGGTCGTTTTTCTTTTTAAAAATATAAGACATGTTGGAGATTCTATGAACAGAGATTCTGTGAGAGTTCTGTTCCAAGTCAGTTGCATTTTCCCAACACCAGTCAATGTTTTGTTTCTGGGAAAATTATTATTATTATTATTATTATTATTATTATTATTATTATTATTATATTTCTATGCCGCCCCTTGCCGAAACCTCAGGGCGGCTTACAACATGATAAGTGAGATTTCTCCACTGATACATGGAAAGAAAGAAACAGCATTTCTCTTGTGCAATGAGAAGTTGCACCCGTGTTACCAAAAAAAGTGGTAGAAGGCATAACTGCGACGATGCAACTCACCATTCTACCTTTTAAAATTAAAATCTTTTTATCCTCTGATGCTGAGCATTCCTCAAACTCAAAAACAAGACAATGTATCCTTTTCTCACGAATTAATTATAACTGAATGTCTAAAAAGCTCCCTGCAGTGTCTGTGCCATTGCATCAAGCCTTAGATTGTTTTTAATAATTACATACTTAAATAAGTGGCCAGAACTCTGCTCCTCAAAGTGATGCTTCTGTTGCAAGAAAATTGCATTTCCTGAACATTCAAAATACCCATGCATTGCAAGAGGCAAGCCACCCTAATATTAAAAGAAGTGGAAGTGGAAAAGAATTTCTTTCACAAATAAAACTAGCATTTTCCTTTCCTAAAGCTGTATCCCAGGCTGTGAAAATTTGTTAAGACGGCACTGGGCAGATTGTGGGATCAGCATCCAACAGTTCATAGTTTAAAAGAACGCTCATAGTTGTAATGCCACATTTCATATCATGTGGCTCCACACTACACACTCCCCTATGCTGTTTTACTTTGCAACAATTTGCACTCCATTCACTTCAAAGAAAAATACGATGCTGGTTTTTAAAGATACACTAGAAAAACTGAAGTGTTTTCAAGTATATCAACAGCAATACATATTCCTCTTCCTTGCTGTTCAGAGTGCTTTAGAGTCCATGCATTTGTGTTTATACCCCTGCATACTGCACACCAGAAATATCCACCTCCTATTCAGACTGGCTGTGCGGTACGAGACGGCAGCTGTAATCCCATTGAGTGCAATGAGATTTACCCGTGTGTGTAGTGAGGCAATTGAAACTTTGTCAACCAATGGCTGAAGTACATTGCAGAACAGGTATTTGGTGATGTATTCCAGTGGGCAGAGCCAAAGGCAAAGAGGCTGAAAGACCAAAACTACCAGCATACTTTAGCATAAAGCTTTTCCTGCTAGTTCTAAGCCTTAGAAGAGACAACTTAAACTTTTAGACCAGTGGAAAGGCGCAAAAGCCCAGAAACCATCAAACCATTGGTGTGTGGAAGGGAAGTTTGGCCAGGTGAAGTCTGGCTATCCAGGGAACACTGGAGGGTCCCATGGAGGCCCTGGACCTCATATTCTGCACCCCTAGTATTTTAATCTTAACTTCTAGAAAATGTGGAGGATGTGAACTGTGAGGAATGCTGTGACTGCAAGCTGCAGATGCTTAAAACATGTTCAGATGGAGAACAGTAGGGTTGGTTTTGTTGTTACAGGAAGGCCATTAATGCATGTAATGCAGCAATTCTAAACTGCCCTCTTTGGTGTTGCACCAAGCTTGATCTTATAATAAAATTCACTCTGTAAATGGGGAGTATATGGGGAGTAGTTTAAGCACTGGAGAAAGGCTGTCAAAATGTAATGTTGAGGCAATGCTCCAAACCATAGCAAAAATTCTTAGAAACTTACTGTATGTGCACCAAGAGCGGATGGAGAGCTGTGGCCAAGAGAGTAAGCCACAGATAAGAGCCCGAGGTCTGCCACATCTTTTGGACAAGTCCCAATAACGCTTGGCCATGTTGTAGGCCTCATGGGAATTATATCCAAAATATCTGGGGGGGACTCAGTTGCCTACTGTAGAACTAAATTACTAATGGGACTAAACTATTAACCCTAACTACTAACCCCACACTAGAGACATTCAAAAAGAAACTGGACAGCCATTGGAGCAGGATGGTTTAAATTGGTGTCCTGCAAGAGCAGGGGGTTGGACCCGATGGCCTTCATGGGTCCTCCCAACTCTACTGTTCTATGTTTCTATGTTATGGATTTACTAGCTGGTCTTTGGCCGACTTCCCATCTGCCGTACGAACGAGCATGTCAACTTTCCTTATGGGCTTTTTTGTAAGTGATGCATTTCAGTGAGATATGTGCTTTGAATACCTGAAAGCCCTGTACAAAGATCAGTGTTCTTATTGTTATTAAATATAATATTTCCCTATTATATCCAAGATCAGCCATAACCAGGCATTTAATCTTTTAATAGGTTTTCATGTGTTGTTATGTATATATATGTTTAATCTGTTATAAGCCACCTAGGAAGGCCTTTTGGTAGTTATAGGCGGCCTGTAAATATGAATAAATGAACAAATGAATAACCATTGACCTGCAGACTGCTCATGAAAATTAGCTTTTGTATGTGCTTCTACAGAGCAACACTAGAGGGCAGCACTTTTGAGCTGCCTCCAAAGTGAAGCCGTTCATGTTTAAACTGGCCTATAGTGATTGCCTCCAGGACACCGAGCCTGGAACATCTCCAAAGTATGTAAGATTATACATGCAAACATGCATGCATACTGAAGGCTCCCCAACCACCTCCATACAGTAGGCCAGCGCACTTGAAAATGCTCCTGAATAACACCCACCTGGTTATACTTTTTTGTTCTGCTTTAGAGCACGCTGCCCTAGGTGCTTTGCATGTCACACCCTGAGTTGGTAAAAGGAAGGAGAAGTCACATTCCAGAGGAGGGCTGGAGCTCCTACAAGACGTACAGATAAGACCTGGATGAGCAAGTCTAAGTGTCTTTGGAGCCATCCAATGGGTTTTCAAATCGGAATGCATGTATAGCTGCGAATGGGCAGCTGGGTGACTCTGCTTCAGCAAAAATGAGCCTGGTAGCAGCTTAAAGTCAGTGAGCTGCCAGATGCGTGTGGCCCCTGGTGCTGCCCATGAACACATGGAAGCTTTTGAAGAGGCACACAGTTTTGTGGAGTGGCACTGTACTGCTGCAATTACAAATTGCACTCAAATACATTGCACTTCTACTTATTTGATCCAAGTACTTACTTATGTGGTTCTTAACATTTACTGGACAAGTACTAAGTGAAGGACCAAGATACATGGTGACTGAGCACTGGTTCCAGAAACTTGGTTCCAAGACTTGGTGGAGGAAATAACAGCAGTAACAAGGCCGTAAGGAATCGGGCACTAAAAGTCCATCTCCTGGTCATTCAACATTTGTGCAACTGTAATGTCTTCCGAAATTTTACTGATGTGTTCACAAGTTATAGAAAACAGAAACAGCAAGTTAGAAGGGGTCTTCTGGGCCATCTAGTCTGACCCCAGCTCCAGCCAGCTGCACTTATAACATGCCTACCATATGCATGTTTAGCCTATCCTTGAACACCCTCACTGATGAGGCCTCAATGACCT